TCTCGAGCAATTTGTTCTGGATAGTTCTAAATATTGATATTTAGTAGGAGCAGCCGGCAGGGGGTGCGTTGGGGGAGCAGCCGGCGAGGGGTCACCGGCGGTGGTGCTGGAGGCTAGCTGGGCAGGGGAGAGCTAGGGAGCGCGGAGCGGAGCCATCTCGAGCAATTTGTTCTGGATAGTTCTAAATATTGATATTTAGTAGGAGACATTTACCTGGAAAATGTTTTTTCCATTGGATGTTTAGTTCCTGTTCTGTCGAATGAACATGAACTCTGAAAGCATGTATATCCCAGTATCCCATTGACTTAACCTATGTTGTCCCTGGTATTAATCTGTAGATTTTCATAGAGCTTTAATATCATGATGTTCTTGTACGCAGTGTTAATATACGACATTTTTTAAGCACAGTATTCACTCGTGCTGCAATTTATTTCATACAACAGGTTGGTGTGGTCTCAGATTATGATCTGTTAGCACTGGACTTGATATCAGGTATTGTTTGGAATTGTTGTGTAAGTTTCACCTTGTTTATATAATATTTTGTCCATATTATCAGCTATCTTGCATTGATTAACGTTTCAATTTCTTTCCCTTTAGGAAATGGACAGGCTGAAGCGGACATATTTCCTGAGGTGGACAGCACTTGGAAGGTACATTTTGAAAGGCTTGGACGGATAATAGACTTAATTGTGTCGCATGGTTATGCATCTATCTTGACCACCCCCCTCCCTCACATGCACACGCGCATACGCATACACACAAGTTGTAGATGTAGTTTGTCACAGGATGTGGGATGACATGTAGGATTGTAGGAGAGCTCAAATAAAAATTACTTTTGTGAAAGGGAATGATAGGCTTGGGCTCAGTCAAATCAGACTGGCGATGGTGGAAACGGATCTGAGCTTATAGCCACCTTGGCTTGGCAGCCACATGAACCTGGGCTTGATGCAGACTTTGCCCTGACAATCACGGCAGGAATGGCTAGACATTCTCCCAAGCCCTCCTACCACTGCCAGGGCTTGCACAATCTCTCCTGATACGGGGCAAGACCGCAAGGGTGGCCCGTTCTTCACGAATTGGAGGTGGATTTGAAAAGTAGCATAAGAACAAGGCACAAATCCAAAGGAAACACAAGAGAATAACGCTATTGGACAAGGTCCACACCAAGTACTCCTCAAACCTCAGGCTAAGGTGCATCTTTGATTCAAGAACCAGTGAAAATAACAAGTAACAAGGGTAGTTCTTCTCCAATCTCTAGGAGATATGGAGGTCTTGAGAGATATTCTTCTCCAAATCTGATAGAGGCGAGGGTGTCCCGATCTTTTGATGAGATGATAACTATCGATTTGGTGGAGATGATTTTGACGATCCGACTACAAACATGCACGACGTTGCGGCTTAGCAATCGCTAAACCAATCTCCTGAGGTTATTGACGATGCCGGAAGCATGATCAGCCTGACCGCGAAGATCTATTCTTACATGCAATCGAAGAACAAGCAAGAATATGATAATGCAATTTGAATATTGCGAATATATGTGAAGTATTGATAAAAGTGGGGATCTGGAAGCGGTCTTGGTCTAGTCGTTGGACATAAACGAAGTACACGAAGTTGCAATGGCTAACTTTTAACTAAACAAATTCCAAAAGTCTAAACAACGCCCTAAGGGCTGTATATACGGAGGAATAGGGCGGAATTTCGTGACTCCTTTGAGAAGGGATCTGAAACTAACCCTATTTCTGTTTCCCCACGCGTACGGACTCTAGAAACAACCTAAGAGGTTGTATTTCGAAATTACATGGGCCTGACCCAAAAACAAGATGGCGCAACACCTAAAATAAGCTATGGACGAAATTTATGAAGGAATATCTTATATATTTCGTCCCTGTCTTTGTATGTCATCACAGAGGCTTCAAAGTGTTGAAATATGCACTAGAAATGCCGTTCTGGTTCCCTTCGTGCACGCCTTCATCTCCATACTTGATCTTGTTTTTGTGTTCATCCCTCTTTTCCCATGCTAGGCCCTTTATTAGTAATCAACATAAATGTACCCAGGCAGCATCTTATTCTCATGAACATTAGAATTATTACCAAAAAATGAAAGTACCTGATAATTCAATTGGCGTGCGTGAGCTCTAGTAATTGGTCCAGTATGTATAGCAACAGTGGCTGTAGGTGTAACAATGGTATTGATGTCCTCATCATCCTCCCTTCTTAAAATGAAGTCGTCCTCGACGGAAGCTCATCTTTCTCATCCAAATAAGGTTTTAAATATGCAATGTTAAAAATAAGACTAATCCCAAAATTTACAGGCAGCTTAAGTTTATATGTATTATCATTTATTTTCTTTAACACCTTAAAAGAACCATCAATATGTGGCATTAGCTTTGATTTGTGTAAATCATGAAATCTATTCTTAGACAAATGTAACCAAACAAGATTTACAGGTGCAAACACAACATATTTTTTATCCTTATCTCCAGCGAGTTTATATTTAGCATTCATACGCTCAATGTTTGAAATGATCGATATGGTTGACTGGAGGGGGGGGGGGTGAATAGGCAACTACCAATTTTTAGCTTTTCTTTACCAAATTAAACTTTGCATCAAAGTAGGTTGTCTACATGTGCAACTAGGTGAGCAATCTATATGATGCAATAACAACAAGCGTACAAGCAAGCAAGGGTAGAAACACTAAAGAGCTTGCACAAGTAAAGGTAAGAGATAACCAAGA